AGCAATCTCAGAGCCTCTCGCTTCTTCGGTCCTGGCATCAAGAGACAGGGGATGGGTCTCCAAACGTATTTTACCTCGGCTTTTATTTTTTTGGTTTTTATGGTTGTGTTTGTGGTTGGCTTTGGTTTATTTTGCAAATTTATACATCTCAACTTTGCTTTCTTTTTTAGCTTTAGATCTCTCTTCTCGAAAAACCTGTACAAAACATACTTAAGGTAAAACATGACTCTATGAAGGTAACATGGTGCTATGGAATTTTAAAAACATTTTTTAAATGAACGTTAACATAGAACCTTAGGTTCATTACAGGGGTACAGCCCAATGATTACACATTATATAATGGACTAAGAAATCATGCAATTAATCTCATACCCATCTGAAACCATACACAGTTATTATAATATTACCAGAGGCACAGTGCACAAAATTTATGCACTCAGGGGGGGTCCCTCAGGCAACACTGCAGCCTCTCGCAATCCAAGACCCCTTGAGGTATGTCCAAGTGATGGCTTACGCCCGCTTTAGTGCTGCCGTGGAGGCTCCAACCAACCCATGTGCTCAGGAGCTGTGAGCCTGGCTTTTGACTAAGCGGTGCTCCCCCTGTGGGAGTGCACTGACCACCAGTGGACAGCTCCTGACATGAGCATCTGCCCCCGGTGTTCAGTGCGTGTCATAGCGACCAGGCGTTCTGCCGTTTTGTGGATTTGCATAATAGCCTTTTATTATATAGGATTGACTCAATGCTCTACATTACTGTGCCATGACTGTTCTTTCGTTTTTTTCATATACTTTTCCTGATTTCCGAATGGACGGGAGAGGGAGAGAAAGAGAAAGATCAATGATGACAGAGATTCACGGATTGGTTGCCTACTGCATGCCCCCTAGTGGGGATCAATACTGTAACGCGGTCATTTGCCATGACTGGAAATTGAATTGACATCTGCTGGTACCTAAGTTTAAGCTAAACAACTGAGCCATCCCAGCCAGGCTCTTTTCATTTCTTTTCTTTTTTTTTGGTTTTTTTCTTAATTAAAACTTTTTAGTTGGTTCAACTTTTCGTTTTGTCCTGACACCACCACTTTCTTTCTGGTCATCTCAGAGGGAACTCACAAACCATAGAACAACCCACCCCATGCAAATAATATGCAAATAAAATGCTTTACCTATAACAGCTGGCAGAGAAACAAAGCAAACGTCTGCATCCAGGTGGGCTTCTTAACAGCGGACTTGCTTCTCCAGTGCTGGTGAGAGAGGTAACACCAAAATATTCAGGGACAGACAGAAACCAGGGATAGCTGATCGGGAAAACAGGAAGTAAAGTGACAGGTGAAAGAGCACGTAGGATTCCTGAGGTCTCATAACATCACTTATAGAATGTTCTCTCGCTTCCCCAAACCTCAGCCATGCTCTTGGCAAGAGGTGTATGTTTTTGCTGCTAAACTCACTTCAGTCCACAAAGCCCAAATTCCTCCCTCAGATCAGACTCAATCCCCAATCCTTCCTCATCCTTCTCCCATCGATCTTTTTCTTACCTGTTCTTCTTGCTCTGAAGGCAAAGCACCGTTCTTCGCTCCTTTCCTCTGTGTCCGGTCTCTTCTTCCCCCTGTTACCTGCAGAAGAAAGGACATGACCATGATACACATCTTCCCAGGAGTCCATGTACCAGGAATGTGTCCAGAAAAACAAGGTTCACCTGACTCACAGCCCAGAAACCAGTCCCGTGAGACAGGTGGTGGTGAGGAAGGAAAGAGGTTTATTCAGGTGCTGGAAACCTGAGAAGATGGGGAAAGCTCATCCCAAAACCTATCTGCACATCCCAGTCGAGACAGAGGCTTTTATAAGGAGGGAGACGTCAAACAGAGCAAAGTTGGTCAGGGGGCGGGGCTTCAGAAGTTTTCTATGTGCAGACAGGCACAGTCTAATCTGATAAGGATATTGCAAGTGGTCAGGTGACAGTCCAGTGTGCATCATCCTAGACTTTGTCCTCCTGGTTCTAAGGTTGAAGGTCATCAAATCTGCCAGAACTGGGACGGTCAGAGTTCATATCTTGTAAAATTAGTTGCTAGGATTCTTATACAAACAGGCTGTTTATGTACAAGCTTCATTATTAGTCAGAGTCTGCATTTACAGGAACAATGTGGAAAGAATGGTGAGGTGAGTTGTAATTCCCATGAATTACATGAATTCATGTAATTACTGTGACATGAATGTTGAGATGCTTCGTTCTTCTTCAAGGCGTTTCCTCCCTTTGAAAAAGTCAAATAGGTGGTAGTCGGACTGGCTCAGTCGAAAGAGTGTCATCCTTAGAATTGAAGGGTCTTGGGTTTGTTTCCCGATCATGGGCACATGCCCAGGTTGTGGGCTTGATCCCCAGTGAGGGACATTCAGGAGTTGGCCGATGCATGATTCTATCATCATGGATGTTTCTAACTTTGTCCTTATCTCTTTGTCTCTGAAATTAATAAAAATATATATTAAAAAAAGGCCAAAGCTCTATCCACTGAGCCAAACCACCTGGGTCACAAGGTCGTCTTTAAATGACTACCCACCTGGTATGTGAAACCAAAAAAAATAATAAACTATTTTAAAACAATGTGCATTTAATCTGAATGCAACATTTGCTTAATATTTTTTTAAATGTTTTTATTGACTCAGAGAGGAAGGAAAAGCGAGAGGGAGAGAAACATCCATGATGAGAGAGAATCACAGATCTGCGGCCTCACATACGCCCCCTACTGGGGATTGAGCCCGCAACTCGGTCATGTGACCTTGACCTGGAAACGAACCGTGACCTCATGGTTGATAGGTCGACACTCAGCCACTGAACCACGCTGGCCGGGCCAGAAGTGAAATATTATGAATATGAGAAACACACCTTAGAAACACATCCCTCACGCTCCCCAGTACTCAGCCTTACAGATCTCAATTTGCATTTGCAAACACTTTCCTGTCAGAGGAGAATTTAATCAGCAGTCAGGGATCTCTTTAATGCAACCATGGATGTCCTGAAATTGATTTCTGTGGCTCCCTCTAGCTCCCTCTCCAGCCGCCTCTCTCTGGTGTGATGCTACATGAATTTAATATCACTGGGATTTGTTTGGGGCTGTTTAGTGCTAAACACAACTAAAAACCCAAATGCATCCAGAGCGAGATGCTAAAGCCACACACAGAGCCAGCTCGAGCCTTCAGGAGAGGAGCCCTGGCATCCCTCATAATTCCTCAAAGGAGAGAGATGAGCAGCATGAAACACCCATAATCCCCCAAACATTCAATCTGTTTTTGGAGAGGGTAGTATTGGTTGACTAACCTCAGAAGATAAAACAGTGAGAACGCTGGTCATTGAAATGAAAACTATTTCCAGTGCTGTCTTTTAGCCTTTTCTACCGGGGCTGGGCTAATATTTTCAGGCTTAAGGTCTTTTTCTATTTCTTTCTCTGTTTACTATGTTTTTACTAGAGGCCCGGTGCACGAATTCGTGCACCAGTGTGATGCCTCGGCCTGGCCTGCAGGGATCAGCTGAAACTGGCTCTCTGACATCCCCCGAGGGGTCCCAGATTAGCAGAGAGCTCATGCCAGGTCAAGGGACACCACCGGTGCACCATTAGGTCTGGGGAAGGACATGGGAGGTTGGCCAGCTAGGGAGGGACCATGGGAGGGCTCCAGAGCAAGTCCAGACTATCTCGCTCTGTCCCGATCAACCAGACCCCAGCAGCAAGCTGACCTACAAGTCTTCACGTCTTGTCCCTGGTGATCAATGCATGTCATAGTGAGCAGTTGAGGAACCTTCACATATCAATTGCATATTATGCATTGATTGGTTGAACAGATGACCTGTCGACAGGACACTGAGCATATTAGGCTTTTATTATATAGTATTGATTTCATACAGGAAGTTAGCAAGAAACATCAATGATGAGAGAGAATCATACATCATGTACCTCTTGCACGCCCCCTAATGGGGATCGAGCCCACAACCAGAGCATGTTCCCTTGACCAGAATCAAACCTGGATACTTCCAGAGTCCAAAGTCCAACCCTCTATCCACTGTGCCAAACAAGCCTGGGCTCATTCGTTAACTCTTGTCTCTGCACTGACCAGGAATCGAACCGTGACCTCCAGGTTCATAAGTCGTCTGTCAACCACTGAGAAACACCAGCTTGGCTCAAAATGCTTTTATTGATTTGATCGAGAGGGAGAGAGACAGATAGAGACAGCGAGACAAAGAGACAGAAAGAGAGAGAAAGGAGGAGGAGGAGGAGGAGGAGGAGGAGGAGGAAGAGGAGGAGGAGAAGAAGAACAGCAACAACAACAACAAAAAGAACAAGAAGAATGAGAGAGAGAGAGAGAGAGAGAGAGAGAGAGAAATCAATGTGCCCTTGCACCCAGGGTGTGGCAGATAAAACAACAGAGCTTATTAATAAGGTGAACAGAACTATACACATCCCACCACCAGGCATGCTCGACTGGGACTTAGGTAGAGAAGAGCCACATGTCCTATGAGTCTTCCAGCAGCTAAAGAATCATACTTCCAGAGTCCAAAGTCCAACCCTCTATCCACTGTGCCAAACAAGCCTGGGCTCATTCGTTAACTCTTGTCTCTGCACTGACCAGGAATCGAACCGTGACCTCCAGGTTCATAAGTCGTCTGTCAACCACTGAGAAACACCAGCTTGGCTCAAAATGCTTTTATTGATTTGATCGAGAGGGAGAGAGACAGATAGAGACAGCGAGACAAAGAGACAGAAAGAGAGAGAAAGGAGGAGGAGGAGGAGGAGGAGGAGGAGGCAAGAAGAAGAAGAACAAGAAGAAAGAAAGAAAGAAGAGAGAGAGAGAGAGAGAGAGAGAGAGAGAAATCAATGTGCCCTTGCACCCAGGGTGTGGCAGATAAAACAACAGAGCTTATTAATAAGGTGAACAGAACTATACACATCCCACCACCAGGCATGCTCGACTGGGACTTAGGTAGAGAAGAGCCACATGTCCTATGAGTCTTCCAGCAGCTAAAGAATCATTTCCTCCACGCCATTCTCCTTGATATGGTGGACGATGCTCCAGAACCAGCACCTGCAGTCCAGGTACTGGCTGCCAGCGTGAAGCGTCCAAATCAAAGGCATGGTGATCGAGGTCAGTGGGCTGGTGGTGAGTGCGATATCTTCACTGGGGATGTCTTCCTGGCGCAACCGTACTTGCAGGACACCTTCTGTCTCCATGACGAGGTGCAACCATGTGCGATCGTTCTCATCCTCATACACCGAGGGCCCACGCCTCAGGAAGATGGGGTGCGAGGTGAGGTGCACCTTCGAAGGGAGCTCGGCCATGACCCCTCCTTCGTCCAAGTAGCAACAGCCACAGCTTTTCAGAGCACCTCGCTACTTCGGTCCTGGTATCAAAATACAGGGGATGGGGTCTCCAAATACATTTAACATCGGCTTTTATCTTTATGGTTTTTACGGTTGAGTTTGTGGTTGCCTTTGGTTTATTTTGCAAATTTATAAATCTCAACTTTTCTTTCTTTTTAGCTTTAGATGTCTCTTCTATAAAAAACTGTATAAAACATACTTGAAGTAAAATATGACTCTGTGAAGGTAACATGTTCCTAAGGAATTTTAAAAACATTTTTTAAATGACAGTTAACATAGAACCTTAGGTTCATTTCAGGGGTACACCCCAATGATTAGACATTATATAATGGACTAAGTAGTCATGCAATTAATCTCATACCCATCTGACACCATACACAGTTATTATAATATTACGAGAGGATCAGTGCACAAAATTTATGCAATCAGCGGGGTCCCTCAGCCAACCTTGCAGCCTCTCCGAGTCCTGGACTCCTTTAGGGATGTCCAAATGCCAACTTAGGCCTGCTTTAGTGCTGCCATGAGGGTCCCACCACCCCCCTGTGCTCGGCAGCTGTGAGCCTGGCATTTGGCTGAGCGGTGCTCTTCCTGTGGGAGTGCACTGACCACCGGTGGACAGTTCCTGCCATGAGCATCTGCCCCCGGTAGTCAGTGGGTGGATAAAAACCAGTCGTTCTGCTGTTTGGTCGATTTGCATATTAGCCATTTATTATATTGATTGACTCAATGCTCTACTTTACTGTGCCATGACTATTCTTTCGTTTTTTCATATAGTTTTACTGATTTCAGAGAGGAAGGGAGAGGGAGAGAAAGAGAAAGATCAATGATGACAGAGAATCATGGATTGGTTGCCTCCTGCATGCCCCCTACTGGGGATCAAGACTGTAGCCCGGGAATGTGCCATGACTGGGAATATAATCGACATCTCCTGGTTCCTAGGTTTAAGCTAAACAACTGAGCCATGCCAGCCGGGCTCTTTTCATTTCTTTTCTTTTCTTTTTTTTGGTTTATTTCTTAATTAAAACTTTTTAGTTGGTTCAACTTTTCTTTTTGTCCTGACAAGACCACCTTCTTTCTGATCTCAGAGGGAACTCACAAACCATAGAACAACCCACACCGTGCAAATAATATGCTTTACCTTTACCTCCAGGCAGATGAACAAAACTAAGGTCTGCGTACATGTGGGCTTCTTAACAGTGGTCTTCCTTCTTAAGTGCTGGTGAGAGAGGCAAGACCAAAATATTCAGGGACAGACAGACACCTGGGATAGCTGGTCGGGAAAACAGGAAGCAAAGTGACAGGTGAGGCAGCACTTAGGATTCCTGAGATCTCGTGACATCACTTATAGAATGATCTCTCCCTTCCCCAAACCTCAGCCATGCTCTTGGCAAGAGCTGTATGGTTTTGCTGCTAAACTCACTTCTGTCCACAAAGTCCAAATTCCTCCCAAGATTAGACTCCATCCCCAATCCTTCCTTCTCCTTTTCCCATCCATCATTTTCTTACCTGTTCTTCTTGCTCTGAAGTCAAAGCACCGTTCTTCGCTCCTTTCCTCTATAACCGGTCTCTGATTCCCCGTGTCACCTGCAGAGAAAAGAACATGACCATTATAAACATGTTCCAATGAGTGCATGTATCAGCAATGTGTCCATAATAAAGTAGGTTCCCATGCCTCACACCCCAGAAACCAGTCCCGGGATACAGGTGGTGGTGAGGAAGGAAAGAGATTAATTCAGGTGCCAGCAACCTGAGAATATGGGTGAAGTTCCTCTCAAAACCGATCTGCACATCTCAGTGCAGGCAGAGGCTTTTATAAGGAGGTAGAGGCCAAGCAGAGCAAAGAGGTCAGGGGGCGGGGCTTGAGAAGTTCTCTACATGCGGTCAGGCACATTCCAATCTGATAAGGATCTTGCAAGTGGTCAGGTGAAGGTCCAGAGTGCGTCATTTTAGCCTTTGTCTCCTGGTTCTAAGGTTGTGGGTCATCAAATCTCCCAGAACTGGGAAGGTAAGAGCTCATATCTTCTAAAATTAGTTCCTAGGATTCAATACAAATATGCTCTTTAGCTACAAGCTTCATTATTAGTCCGAGTCTGCATTTACAGGAACAATGTGTAAAGAATGGTGAGGTGAGTCGTAATTCCCACTGTGACATGAAAGCTAAGATGCTTTGTTCTTCTTCAAGGCATTTGCACCTTTTGAAAAAGTCAAATTGGCCCTGGCCAGTTTGGCTCAGTGGATACAGTGTTGGCCTGCGAACTGAAGGGTCCCAGGTTCGATTCCAGTCCAGGGCATATGCCCAGGTTGTGGGCTTGATCCCCAGTGAGGGATGTGCAATAGGCAGCCGAACCTTGATTCTCTCATCATGGATGATTCTAACTCTCAACCTCTCCATTCCTCTCTGAAAAAAAAAATTAAAAACAACTCCCAGCTCAATGACCTGGACTGAGGCAAACTCTTCCCCAATTAGGAAGGAAAGATGAATGGGGCTATAAGGAAATGCCTGTTGGAATTTAGGAGAAGAAAATAAAAAGGAAAAACGGGTGGAAAAAAAAACATAATACAAATGTCACCCTCATACTGCCCTCGAAGGATCGAGCCTAAAGGGGTCACGAGGCAGAGTGTCTGCAGTGCGACATATGACAGATCTCGAGTCCGTGGGCTCTTTTATAGAAAAATATATATGTATTTTTATTGATTTTAGAGAGGAAGGGAGAGAGAGATAGAAACATCAGTGATGATGAGAGAGAAAAATGACCCGGACGCCTCCTGCACGCCACGCACTGGGGATCGACCCCGCAACCCGGGCATGAGCACTTGACTGGAATTAAACCCGGGACCCTACCATCCGCAGCTGACGCTCTATCCACTGAGCCAAACCAGCTCGTGCGCTATGTAGTCTTTAAATGACTACCCACCAGGTATGTTAAACCAAAAATATAATAAACTGTTTTAACACAATGTGCATGTAATCTGAATACAACAATTGCTAATATTTTTTATATGATTTTATTGACTCAGAGAGGAAGGCAAATCGAGTGGGAGAGAAACATCCATGATGACAGAGAATTACGGATCAGCCGCCTCCCACACACCCCCCACTGGCGATCAAGCCCGAAACCGGGGCATGTGCCCTTGACCGGGAATCGAACCGTGACCTCCTGGTTGATAGGTCAACACTCAGCCTCTGAGCCACGCTGGCCGGGCCAGAAGTGCAATATTTTGAATATGAGAAACACACCTTAGAAACACATCCCTCACGCTCCCCAATCCTCAGCATTAAAGGTCTCAATTTGCATTTGCAAACATTTTCCTGCAAGAGGAGAATTTAATCAGCAGTCAGTGATCACTTTAATGCAACCCTGAATGCCCTGAAATTGATTTCTGGGCCTCCCTCCAGCTCCCCCTCCACCGCCAATCATGGGTGCGATGCTAGATGAATTTTATGATCGTCGGGGTTTATTTGGAGCTGTTTAATGTTAAACACAATTAAAAACCCAAATACATCCAGAGCTAGACGCTAAAGCCATACAGAGAGCCAGTTCCAGCCTTCGTGAGACGAGCCCTGGCATCCCTTGTAATTCCTCTAAGGAAAGAGATGATCAGCATAAAACACCCGTAATCGCCCAAACATTCATTCTTTTTTTTTGGAGGGTGTAGTACTGGTTGACGAACCTCAGGAGATCAAACAATGAGATCGCTGGTCATTGAAATGAAAACTATTTCCAGTGATGTCTTCGAGTCTTGCCTACCAAGGCTGGGCTAATATTTTCAAGCTTAAGGTCTTTTTCTTTGTCTTTCTCTGTTTAATATATTTTTACTAGAGTCCCGGTGCACGAATTCGTGCACCAGTGTGGTGCCTCTTGCCTGGCCTGCGGGGATCGGCCGAAACCGGCTCTCTGACATCTCCCGAGGGGCCCCAGATTTCAAGAGGGTTCAGGCCAGGCCAAGGGACCACACCAGTGCAAGATCGGGGCCGGGGTGGGATGTGGGAGGTTGGGCAGCTGGGTCGGGACAATAGGAGGGCTCCAGGGCATGTCCAGCCCATCTCACTCAGTCCCGATCAGCCAGACCCCAGCAGCAAGCTGACCTACCAGTCTGAATGTCTTGTCCCTGGTGGTCAATGCATGTCCTAGTGAGCAGTTGAGCAACCTTAGTATTTCATTTGCATATTATGCTTTGATTGGTTGAACAGATGACTGGTTGAATTGACACTTAGCATATTAGGCTCTTAGTGAATCGGATTGATTTCATACAGGAAGGGAGCGAGAAACATAATTGATGAGTGAGAATCATACATTGGGTGCATCCTGCACACCTCCTACTGGGCATCGAGCCCACAACCAGAGCATGTGCCCTTGACCAGAATCGAACCTGGGACCTTTCAGAGTCCACAGTCCAACCCTCTATCCACTGAGCCAAACTAGCTAGGGCTCATTGGTTAACTCTTGACTGTGCCCGTAACATGAATCGAACCGTGACCTCCAGGTTCATAGGTCGTCCCTCAAATACTGAGAAACACCAGCTTGGATCAAAATGCTTTTATTGATTTGAGAGAGAGGGAGAGAGACAGAGCTAGACAGAGAGGAAAAGAGACATAGAGAGAGAAAGGAGAAGAGGAACAAGAACAACAAGAAGAATAAGAACAAGAAGAGAGAGAGAGAGAGAGAGAGAGAGAGAGAGAGAAGAAGAAGAAGAAGAAGAAGAAGAAGAAGAAGAAGAAGAAGAAGAAGAAGAAGAAGAAGAAGAAGAAGAAGAAGAAGAAGAAGAAGAAGAAGAAGAAGAAGAAGAAGAAGAAGAAGAAGAAGAAGAAGAAGAAGAAGAAGAAGAAGAAGAAGAAGAAGAAGAAGAAGAAGAAGAAGAAGAAGAAGAAGAAGAAGAAGAAGAAGAAGAAGAAGAAGAAGAAGAAGAAGAAGAAGAAGAAGAAGAAGAAGAAGAAGAAGAAGAAGAAGAAGAAGAAG